CATTTCAAGATTTTTTTAGTCTGGTGTTTTTTTTGCTGCTTTCCAGCAGTTCATTCAGCCATCCAAAATTCTCTCATGCTTAAACAAAACACGGAGGTCTTTGCTCAGGAGGGAGTCGCTGCTCTGGTCACATTTTAACAAGGTGTTTGGAATATTTCTTGCAAGGAAGCATTTGAATATCTGCCTTTCTTTGACTGCAAAAAACACCTCTTACTACAGATGCAAGCACACAGCCAGTCCTGGACTGTGCTCTGAGGATATTTTCTGACCTGTTGCAAAGAAAAAGGAGGAGAGTGAGGAGATACAACATTCTGAGGGCATCTTGGTTCCAAATTCACTGTGGTATGGCACTGGCAGGAGGGTTTGGACCAGCAGCAGTCCCTCCTGGGGTGTAAAGCTTTATTTCAACCCCATCTCCATCCTCATCATGCACTGAAATGGCCCTCAGAGCACCAGGGCTGACCCGAGGAGGCCACTGCAGGGGCTCTGTCAGCATTCCCCACACCTCACCCCTCTTCCTGCAGGATACACTAAATCCAGGGATTCACAACGGTCCGCTCTCCTTGTTCTTCACATCTCATCCATCACTGATTCCTAAAAGCTATTTGAAAATACAGAGCATTTCCCATACAAGCCTCTTGTGTTCTCTTACACGTAAATGAAACTTAAACCCAAGGTCTTAAATTACACAACAGTGTGCGCGGCAAGCAATGCTTCACAGCAGTTTAACTGAGATTCAGAAATTGAACTGCTTAATTAATGGAATGTGAAAAAGAATAACAGCACCAAAACAGCGACCCCCTGCTTGCCACTTTGATATTAAATTCCATTTGCTTTTTGATACCTCCAAAATGCCTTGGTTTATGTGTTGGAGAACTGCAGGACAGAAGCTGCAGAGAGCAAACTGGAGATTTTTCTGTGAGCACAGGTCTAGCAGGACTTTTGGAGTGCCAGGTCACCTCACTGCCAACACATTTCTGTAAAAGTCATCAAATAGTTCAGTGCTTACTCAGGTAAATTTGCATACATATACATTCATGTATATATAACTATATTCTGAATATTTTTAAGGACAACATATGTCCAAAGACAAGTTTTAAGCAGAATGCTCAGGTGCAGGATCCTGCAACAATGGAAAAGTGAAATACATTCATTCTCCATCCTGGGTTTAGGAAGGCCCCTATCCCTGTCAGCTGAGTGTCATCTGCAGGAGCCAGGCACAGAAGTCACAACGTCTTCAGCTCATCCTGACCATCCCTGGCATATGGAGAGGGTTCTCTTCTCCACTGCTGTCCCTGTTTTGGCTCCTTCCTGTTACTGTGGCAGTGCCAGCAAACACAGGCTCTCCTCTGCCTGCACTCGGGGGTTCAAACACCATAAACCCCTTAAAAATTATCTAAGAATATATTCTCACTTCAAAAAAAATCTCCTTTAAATTAATTTAAACTCTTCTAATCCGTAATAGCTGAACCCCAAATATTACAAAATTAAACAGTTCAACCCAAACTCTGCAAAAATCCCCAATTATTTTACAGCAGGATGAGATACCCAGGAAAACATAAGCAATAACAGCCTGAGATGTTTTTTTTTTAGCCTATCAGCTCTAAGTCAGGGTATCTCCTGTGACCTGACTGAAGTCAGCAGTTAACCACTGGCTGCAAGAGGCCTGCTGATGTGGCAGGGAAATGTTGAATTACCACCTTTAATTTGACCAGGACAGAATGTACTCGGTGCCCTCCTGCAGCACAATTATGAGTTCACAGTAAGGATTCGCTGGGGATTGAGCCCAGCCTCCCTCGTGGCTGTAAAACTCCCAGTCCACAACCTAATAATCCTTTTTACTGCAGTATTTTAAATGGCTGGGGATGGCAAAGGACAATACTGTCAGGGTAGCTCTGAATTTCTTTGCTTTGGTGGGTATAAATCAAGCTCTGTATTATTTTTAGTAGCTTGTTATTACAGCTTTTGCAACCTGAAGACAGACTAGTGCCTTTAATTCATTAGTAATTTCAACAGTTAATCAGAAAATGTCATTACCTAGAAAGTCTGCAGCTCAAAATAAAGCACACTAGAGTTAGATTTAAATTAAAGCATGGACAGAAATGAATGCAGCCTTTGATCCCCTTTTCATCCAGACTGCACCCTGATGGGCACAGCTGGACAGGATGGGAATCGTGAGAAGGCAGCGGTCTCGCCTGGTAAAAGGATACTGTCAACTCATTAAGTCCTGGAGTTGAGGCAATTAAAATAAAAAAAATTCACTGGGTTCTTTCAGAACTCTCCTCCTGTTTGCTGCAATGGGCATTTCTCACCAGTTTTATTTTTAAAAGAGGCTGATTTTCAGGTGTTTGACTGGAAAACACACCATTAACATCTGTTTAATCCCCGAAGTGGCTAAGCCATGTTTCTGTTAGTGGAGCCCAAACAAAGGCACCCAGCTCTGCCTGCCAGTCTCTCTGAAGGGATATTCCTTTAGGCAGGGAAAGAGTCTGGCTCCACACCCTCTTAGCACAGCCATGTATTTAAATAAGACAGGATGGAGCCTCTTCCCAACTGGGAAGCAAGCTGTACTTTTCAGTCTTCCAATGTAACTGTCTGCAGTACAGCTTTTCCTCCCCATTTTTTCCTTTGTTCCCATGCAGCAATGTTGTTAAAACCCTCACATTTGTCATGCTGACCAGAGAAACTGTGACACAGACCTGGGAATCATCCTGCCTGCCACTGTCCTCACCTGTGCAAGGTCTTGGTCACCTTCCCTGCGAACACAGGGACAATCCTGGCGCCTTCCCACCCTGGCTTTGACTGAGGAAACATCAGTGAAGCTCTCTCCTGGACGTGTCCTGCCCAAGTGCGCCCCAGCTGCCATCAGTTCAGGCACTGGAGTGTGATCCTGTGTCCCCACAGCGTCCCACAAGGCACCAAACCACTCCCAGGACAGCGTGGGGACAGAGGACGTGCAGATTCTTGTTTTAGGTGGCTGTGTGCTGCAACGCTTGTAAATGTACCCAGTGCATGCAATGAGAGGAGATTTTCAATCCAAACTATTATTTATGGGCTATGAAGCTTTCACTTCTCCAGTTCCTGCCTCCTGGGACAGCACTGGATTTCTGTTTTGTTTGAAATTTCATCTGAAAACATATATTTCAATGGAGCATGGTGGTGTAGAGCCAGTTCCAGGGTTCCTGGCCCCAAGAATGTATTTAGCCACTGGGAACGTGTTTTGGAGAGATTCAGATGGTGGAATGTGGCCAGTCAAGACAAAAATCCAAGTTAAATGGACAGCAGTGTGAAGCAAAATCAGATTTACATTTGGGATGGGATGGGATGGGATGGGATGGGATGGGATGGGATGGGAGCTCTAGGTTGGCTGGTGCCAGGTACAGCTGCCCCTCAACAGGAGGGCACATTTTGCTGACACAACTCACATCTGTTAGGGTGCACGTGGTTCCTTTCAAAGTACTCCATAACACAAGCACGCAGGCAAAACTTAAAAACGTGCGTTATGCTTGAAGACAAATCTTCCTGACTTTCTGGCTAGTACAACTACAGGTGGGTTAGAGGTTAAGATCCTTGTGAGGTATTTCAACGAATTAACTGCTCCATCAGGTCTCCCTCAGCACGAGTGGAAGGTGGCCAGCAGCACAGACACAAAGAGCAGGGCAGGGCATCGCCGACCATCGCAAACTCCGAGCGGGGAGGTTCTGCCGGCTCTGTCTCCTCTTGCACCGCTGCCCTCCTCGCTCCGGTTTCCCGGCGGGCCGGGAGGGGCTGCACGGTGACAATGGCAGTGCACTCACTCACTCACTCTCTCACTCACTCACTCACTCACTCACTCACTCACTCACTCACTCACTCACACTCACTCCTCACTCACTCACTCACTCACTCACTCACTCACTCACTCCCTCACTCACTCACTCACTCACTCACTCCCTCACTCCCTCACTCACTCACTCCCTCACTCCCTCACTCCCTCACTCACTCCCTCACTCACTCACTCACTCACTCACTCACTCACTCACTCACTCACTCACTCACTCACTCACTCACTCACTCACTCACTCACTCACTCACTCACTCACTCCCTCTCCGTCCCCGCCGGCTGCGGAGGCTCGGAGGGGACGCGGCGGTGCCAAGGGCCCGGCCCGCAGCCGATGGGCGCCCGTCGCT